TTTTTTTTTTTTTTTTTGAGATGGAGTCGCCCAGGCTGGAGTGCAGTGGTATGATCTCGGCTCACTGCAGCCTGCCTCCTGGGTTCAAGCGATTGATTCTCTGCCTCAGCCTTCTGAGTAGCTGGGATTACAGGCGCCCGTCACCACGCCAGGCTAATTTTTATATTTTTAGTAGAGATGGGGTTTCACCATCTTGGCCAAGCTGGCCTTGAACTCCTGACCTTGTGACCCACCCGCCCCGGCCTCCCAAAGTGCCGGGATTACAGGTGTGAGCCACTGCACCCAGCCTGTGTTGGCTTCTCTTAAAAGTTTTGTGTAGCTCATGAAAATGACGTTGAAATGGCTTTTTCTAATTGACAGCTAATTTATTCTACAGGAAGCAACAGGAGGGCAATTTTGATATTGTCTCTGGAACTCGCTACAAAGGAAATGGAGGTGTATATGGCTGGGATTTGAAAAGAAAAATAATCAGGTAGGTACATGTGTTACAACTTCTTTATTAGTATAACTACTGGAAGTGTATTCATAGCAAGTATTTGGATTAGCTATCATGCTGCCTGGGATTTGTGGGATCAGGTTATAATTTCCAGTAAATATTTATTCCCAGATAGTTTCTTACAGTTTTTCCTGTGATTAGAGCCTGGATGTTTTTTATTAAGGAAAAATCAGTATAAACCTTTGGACCTTTGGTAGAAACGGCCTTATTCAGCAAAAGTTACTATACCGGACCTCCAGTTTTAATTTATGTGACCTGTTCCATACTTGTAGACTAAATATGTAGGGTTTCTCTCCATAATTATAGTGTTATTTTAACTAAGATCGATTTCAGACAGACCTGGGTTAAAGTCTCAGCTCACTGCAACCTCTGCCTCCCGGGCTCAAGCGATTCTCCTTTCTCAGCCTCCTGAGTACCTGGGACTGTGGACACGCGCCACCATGCCTGGCTAATTTTTGTTTTTGTAGAGATGGGGTTTCACCATGTTGCCCAGGTTGCCCTCGAACTCCTGAGCTCCGGTGATCCGCCTGCCTCAGCTTCCCATTAGCTGGGACTACAGGCACGCACCACCATGCCCAGCTAATTTATGTATATATATTTATGTTTATATATATATGTATTTATGTTTATATATGTATTTTTTTATATATATATATGTATACTTTTTTTTTTTTTTGGTAGTGATGGGGTTTTGCTATGTTGTCCAGGCTGGTCACTCCTGGGCTCAAGTGATCCACCCATCTTGGCCTCCTGGGATTACAGGTGTGAGCCACCGCACCTAGCCAGGTCTCCTTTCATTGACCAAAAATTTCTCTTTTGTTCTAGATAAATAACATTTTTATGAAATTAATGTTACATTTATGAAATTAGTATAGCATTTTAACACTGTTCTTCAATGTGTTTCTCTTGTTTATAAATTGTATTTTGTAAAGAAAATCTGATTGTTTTATTTGGCAGCCGTGGGGCCAATTTTTTAACTCAGATATTGCTGAGACCAGGAGCATCTGATTTAACAGGAAGTTTCAGGTACAGTGAAAATTTCCACAATTTTTATATAACTTCTTGGCTGACTTTCTTTACAATGGATATTTTAAAGAAACACTTTACATTTCCACCTTGTATGCATACTGGGATACTAAAAAGGCAGACTAAAATTCCTAAAAGTTGCTAATGAAACCTAAACATATCGGGAGACATATTGTGCTTTTCCTTGAAAAAGTTGAAGGCAGTTAGGTTTGTGTGCTTTTTAACATTAGTATTAAGGCTCAACTGCTCTTTGGAACATTGCTATTACTGATAATCTGTTCCAAAGAACAGCACATACTTCAGTAATTTTCTGCATTTCATATGAATACTAACAGCATTGTCCACAGAAAAGGTTAAACTTTTTAATATTTATATAGAGCTCTCTCACTTACCTTGTTCTCCATGTTTAAGGAAATTTTTGTTGTTGTTTAATTTGGTCAAAGCTTCGGTCCCTCTGAGTTCTGTGTGTCTGTTTCTGGGTGTATGGGGTGGTAGTCTAGATTTGCTGTAGTAGATGTGAGCTGCTTTGTGTGACTGACCATGGCAAATGACAAAACTTGCCAGATTTTTTTTTTAATCTCTGAAACTATAAAATGCCCCTGCATCTACTTTAGTAGCCCCAAGCCCCCCATACATTACTTAATAATTTATATTCATTGATACTTTTTTCCACTAAATAATGTTGATTGTTCGGTCCTTTGCTTGATGCAGGAAAATTTAAGTCCTTAAATGTGAGAATTGACACGCACACACACAAATTAGGACCTGGCTGTTGACAGTCAAAAAGAAAAATGAAGCCTCTCTGGAACGAAAAAGCAAATAGACTGGAGAGCTGAACTTGGGGATGAAAGAGAGGAGAGGCTATACCCTAAGGCTAAAGAGTCATTTGTGATATGATGAAGATCTCTGATTGTGGATGGGCGGTGGCTGGTGGATGGGCAGTGGCTTGCGCCTATGATCCCAGAACTTTGGGAGGCCGAGGCATGTGGATCACTTGAGGTCAGGAATTTAAGACCAGCCTGGGCAACATGGGGAAACCCTGTCTCTACTAAAAATACAAAAATTAGCCGGGTGTGGTAGCGTGTGCTTGTAATCCCAGCTACCCAGGAGGCTGAGGCAGGAGAATCGCTTGAGACCCAGAGGCAGAGGTTGCAGTGAGCTGAGATTGCGCCACTGCACTCCAGCCTGGTGACAGAGGAGGACTGTCAAAAAAAAAAAAAAAAAAAAAAGGCC